TTTTGTCATGTCTTCCCATGTAAATTCCAAACGTAATGCTTTCTAGAGTTAAAACTTCCGTTTGTTTTGCAAAGATTATCTTTTATGAAAATAACTGGAGGGGAAAAACAAGCGAGAATGCTATGCATACCTCAACTAATGAGTGGAGCAATTGAAGTTCCCTTTAATGCATTTTCATATTAGTGAGTTGATAAGTAGCCACCATACTGATGATTCGATCAGGGATGGCAGAGTAGTGGCCGTTTGGGCTGGCTATGTGTTTATGTCATTCATGATCTCCTTTGCATATTTCCTTATCCCAGGAAATTTCATTGGAAAAAGGGCTTAATGCTTCCATATTTTCATGCATGAGTTCTGAACACACATCATAGGGTGATAAAGTCTTTATTTGGGATGAAGACTACATGTATTAAGAGGGACCTCAATTCCTTGATAATTGAGGTCTGGTAGCATTCTCATTTGCAAAAGCGCTTCATGCTTCTATATTTCTATGCATTAGCTTGGCCTCATTCGATAAAAGTCTTTAGTCGAGCTAAAGCTTATCTCTGTTTGGCAGGAAGAGTGATACCAGAAAGTTTGGTTTACAGCTTTGGTACCCTGTTGCTTGATCTGCTCAGCGGGAAACATATCCCTCCAAGTCATGTAACTTTTCTTTTCATTAATAAATTCTAGGTGAATGGTTGCTCTGATTCTCTTTTTCTTGGTCATCCAGTGGAAAATTACGCCCTACAAAAGTAACTTGAGTTTAAAATTGGTCTAAGTCAAACCTATCTGGTTGTGTCGCATTCTCATCACTTTCTGATTATATAACTGGCTTAAAATTTTATGAATTGGATTCTGATTACAATTATAATTTCCAATTTTCTTTCTGGAAGGCACTTGACCTGATACGGGGCAAAAACTTTTTGATGCTGATAGACTCGTGCTTGGAAGGTCATTTCTCAAATGACGATGGGACTGAGCTGGTGAGGTTAGCTTCACGATGCTTGCAGTATGAACCTCGTGAGAGGCCAAATGCCAAGTCTCTTGTGACTGCCCTCATTCCTCTTCAAAAAGAAACTGAGGTGTGCTGATGCCCAACTTTATTTTTTCTTTACTATATGCTTCAAAATTTGATTTCTGCTGCCTCTGTTTTGGAAAGTTCATTTGCAGTAATGCTGCAAATAGAAGTAATTATATCATCTCATGTAGTGGTTTGTAGCAGGTTCCATCATATGTTTTGCTGGGTATTCCGCATGGAAATGCGCCTCTGAATCAGACATTGCTATCACCTCTAGGTGAAGCTTGCTCGAGACTGGATCTTACTGCAATACATGAAATACTGGAGAAGCTTGGATACAAGGATGATGAGGGGGTTGCAAATGAAGTTAGTGATCCTCAATTCTAACTTTTCTATGTTCTATTTTCTGACATCTGCCAACCATTATTACTATCCTTTCCGTCATCAATTTTTGCATCAGTTATGTGTATGAGCAAACTTTTTATGTTAATTTTGTGTAATGCACTGCCCTTACTTTGAAGTTACCTTGCAGCTTTCTTTCCAAATGTGGACAAATCAAATACAAGAGACATTGAATTCTAAGAAGCATGGGGATGCTGCATTTCGATCTAAGGATTTTGTTACCGCGATAGATTCTTACACAGAAGTAAGTCACAAATTTATACTTTTTGACAGGAATCAATAAAAAAAATTAGAAATATTTGAATCTGATTAGATTTTATCCAAATGCAAAGTTTGCATGTCACAAGTTCCTTCATCAAAATCCAGATACATATTCAAATACATGGTGATATTGCAAGGGCGGTCACTCAGTTGAAAGCATTAATGATATAATTTGCTTCTTCATCTGGACTTAAGTTAGACAAAGTTATTAGTAGTGGGGTTACAAGAATTTAAATTTTCTGTCTTGCAAATACAAATCTATGACTTTGTATAATCAGATAACCTCACACGATTAGAAATGATAATTCCTTAGGAAATATTAGCTTTACAAGCCTACTACTATGCATATGACAGATAGAGTAGGATTGCATTCACTTTTCATCTTACTCCTAGGTGGATCTTGTTGCTCTTCATTGCAGTTCATTGATGGTGGGACCATGATATCGCCAACTGTGTTTGCTAGACGTTGCTTATGTTACTTGATGAATGATATGGCACAAGAAGCTCTTGGAGATGCTATGCAAGCCCTAGTAATAAACCCTGAATGGCCCACTGCCTTCTATCTTCAAGCAGCTGCCCTAAAGAGCCTAGGGATGGACAATGATGC